GCGCCATGTTGGGGTTAAGGTTCACGGCTTTGGCTTGAGTTAGAAGTATACAAATTATAATACAATACTACAAAATGCCAAAAGAAGTATGTGTTTAAATATGTGTATATATCTACATATCTAGTCCTAAGTCATCGTCAAACGGTACTTGTCATGTGTTGTGCCGACAGGGGCTCTGAGTTCGAAACCCCTCTTTGAGTGTTCGGCGTGTTCACAAGACGGAACTCGCTTTAATAAGACTTCATAAGGCTACGAGAATACTTATCGCAGCTCCTTCAATAAATCCAAGCACAAGCTTACTGCAAAGTATACAAAGCACCGCACAAAGAACCCGCCCACCAATGTCGTGAAGGCCGCGGCTTCGCATCGAAGAGCGCTCTCGGTTTCTGACTTGCCGAGCGAGGTCAGAGGGCTTTCGGGTAAGGGTTTCGGGATGTTTAGGGACCAGAGTTTCGGCTTTAGGGCTCGTAAGAAAAAGCTCGCGGAGTGCTGGCGAGTGTGCAGAAGTCGGTCCCGTGGCGATGGATGCTCGGACAGCACCTAAACAAAAAGATTGTGCACGGCACCTGGTCAGGGAAAAGGTGGGACGCGCTACGCTCATGATATCGCATCTAGAACATACTCTGCGCATCGCCATCCAGATATTGAGGACTTTCGCGATGCCAACATCGCAGCTTTGAACGTCCTCTCCGCTGCATCGAGCATGTAACAAAGTGTGCCTTGCGCTGTAGACGTGTGTCTTTCCGGAGGCTTGTGAAGCAGAGGCAAAGTTGCACAGCAGTTGCCATCAGGCTATCGGCTCAGGGATGGGATACTTTCAACGAGTTCGTTCACAGGCACAGACTGCAAGAGGCACATTCACCGATCGTTCTGCGCTGGCGCGATTTCATCAACAATCAAGGCCCGAAGGTAATGTGATTTCGAGTGCATGACCTTGATGAACTCCGGCTTCTTCGAGACAGCTTGCTTGCCGAGGGGAGCGCGATGGAGTTGTTCGAAGAAGTCTGATTTTAGGATGATCGCTCAAAGCAAGAGCCGGCGAGCTATCATTCGCTCCTATGGTGGATGCTCGATCAAACACAGCTGGAGCTTGGCAGGTCACAGGCACCGAAAGCCGAAAGCAATCCCAAATCGGCAGCCGTCGAAGCCCCGATGCACACAGATGCAGCTCAACCTTTCAACCCTGCGAGCCTGAATCTTGAGCAGCACAAAGCGCCTCCAGACCTGATAAAACCTCCAAGCCTCTGGAACTTTCGATCGCTTGCAAGCCTCAAACACTTCAGCCGCAAGCCCTCGGCTACCAGAAACTGTTCGTTGTGATCATAAGCGTATGCGAACACGCTAGACTCATCCTTCAAATTTTGTCACAACAACTTGATGGGGATAGGCGTAGTTTGTTTGGGAAATATTGAGGGCACATGATTACGAGCTTTGCGACAGAACTTGCGAAGACTATACTAGACCTGTTCTAAACAAGGTTCAGATCACATGTGCTGAGTGACGTTCAGACCACGAAGCCGCCTTGCAGGAGATCTTCGACCGGCCATGGCAGCTGAAACATTGAGGCTTCTAAGACCTGCTTGAGATTAGTTGTTTGACAAAGCGGGACGTCCGCTTCCTGTGCGAATGTGGATCGTTCTGGAGTTGCCCAGTGGCTGGCATTAAAAGTGTTCCTCTCCCAAGGATGTGCAAAGAGGTCGCTTGTTATGTCGTCGCTTGTTGACTAGAGCCGTAAAGATCGCGGCTTGTCGAAGGTCTCAGGATTGGCGTCAGGTTGAAGCTCATAGGTCCGGCGAATGGCTGGGCATCTGAATCTGGGATTGGGTGCAGAAGGTTTGTGTTGGGCAGAGTTTGAAGCTCTAGGGTTTGGGATGGCGTTTTTCAGCATCAGTAATACTGATATTGTCTTGCATCGCTTACACCTACTGTCGTTGTGTTGCTTTGTCGGACTTGTGTGGCTTCGAGGGTGGACAAGCGGCAGGTTTAAGTCCCTGCCGGGGCGAAGTCGTCCCAATCCCATGTGCCGCAGGGTCTGGGCTACCTCTATCATATGTTGTTTCCAATCCAGTGTCTATTTTCTGCGCGATCCAGTACTGTGCGCGGTCTTTCCTTGAGCTTGGATATGTTATGATGTCACTGGTGTCTCGAGCTGGTGCTTGTGTAACTGAACGTCTACAAGGGGAATGGCTGGCTTTGATCAGCTGTTCGCTGTGCGATGCCACTATGTTTCTCGAGCTGGTGTTTGCAATCGAGCGTCTACATGGGTAATGGCTGGTTTTGATCGGCTGCCACGGACGTCTATGTTTCTTTAGCGGGTGCTTGCGAACTCGAGCGTCTACATCGGGAATGGTTGGTTTGATTTGCTGCTTGCCGCGATGCCACTGATGTGCTTCTTGCTTAGGTGCTTGCGAAATCGAGCGTTTACATTGGGACTGGCTGGTTGTGATGTGTTGTGTTGCCACTGATGTGTGTCTCGAGCGGGTGCTTGTGGATTCGAGTGTCTACAGACATGGAGGCTGGCGGGGTGTAAGTGCTATGGTGTTATGGGTTACCACTTATGTGTGTGTCTCGAACGGTTGCTTGTGGAACGGGTTGTCGACTTGGATGTTGCTGTTTTGGTCCATGGAGCCGAATGTATGCAGGCCCAACAGCCGAACAGAAATCCAAACGCCATATTTGCCGAGTGCGCAATCCCCAAAGCCTGTGGGGCACAAGGAGTCGTTTTCGAGGTGCGGCGCCGGTCCTCCTGTTTGAACAAACTCCTGCTATCCGAAATAGTCTCGGTCACCTTGTTTGGCTGCAGACGCACACCTAGTACCTTCACCTCCACACACATGTGCGCACACATTCACACTGTTTTGCCCTTGTGCTTGTGAAATCGAATGTCGACATCGGGATTGGCTGGTTTTGTCACTTGTCGAGAAGTGTGCCGGGTATCAGGTTTTGTCAGCCGGTTGGTAGGGGTAAGGTTAGAGAGCGGGAGCGACTTGGAGAATACAATCAGCATCGACACTGGGGTTTTCGCATCTAATCATGTGTATTCTTGCACTAATGGGGCTTCTCAATCCACCGCGCGCACGGCACGCGGCCTTTAAAAGTACAAGCCGCGAACATTCCGAAAATGCGTGTGCCCTTGCGGGATGGCTCCAGTTTAACTGTTGTTGGGCTGACATCACCCCGCCTGGGGTGGCTCGGGCGACGTAAACCGAGCGCTCGTATGTAGGTGTACTGTGACATACCACCACCACCTTTCAATTAGAACTAGAAGTCTAGAAGTGCAGGTATATAGCCATGTTCCTTTTATTTGACTCCAGGAAGACTCGCGAGACCTTTTGTACAGACCTCCGGATAAGGTTGCAAGTCGCTCAGTCAGTTTGAGCATTCCAGCTGCTGAAAACAGTTTGGTTTGGGGCAGCGGGCAAGTCGTGTTCTGTTAATGTGTGCCACCCAGCTTTGGCAAGCATTGTCATGTTCTTCTTCTCCAGGCCTTGATGAAGTTATGCACCGCCAGGTACTGCAAGGGAGGTGAAATTGGCCAATGAGTGAGCGAGCTGCGATCCATTGAGTTTCAGCTCAAGGGTCTTGCGCCGCGTTGCACGTGTTTTCCGGCCAACCCATTGCTTTTAACACTTGATGCTCCAGCTTTTGAATGCGGGAGTTCGAAGCCTCGAGGCGCAACCCGATTCGGCAATGTTTGTCCACGTCGCTTCATCGACTTCGTGCTCTTGATCATCCCCAGTACAAAGCGACACCAGGGGTTGTTTTTCATTCGGCTGCCTTTGCTGGCCAATATGAGCTAACAATCCCGGCAGCTATAGGAAAAGCAGTGTTTGAGAATCTTCAGCGCCTGACCATGGCTTGCGAGATCCTATGCCTTCCACCCTACAGTGACAGAATCCACTGTGCCAGCAAGACACTTTTGAAACATGCTATAGAAGATTCCTATGATCCTTGATGTAGGAAAGACTGGCCAACTTCACCTCAGCTCTGAGTCCGGCTGTGGGAGTGTAAGACCCGCTACGGTGGTGAATTAGGTTCAATCGCAGGCTGCAGTTGCAACTATACTGTTCAATAGACATGTTTTGTGCTGTATCGTGTCGGATTTTGTTTGTTGCTGGATCCTGGTTGCTTCCGGTGGTATTGTCATTGTATTGGCATCGCAGTAAGGTTTGAAAGCAGGTTCTGGGCAGAAGCAGACTACCCTGGCGTTTCATTGTTGACGTATGCTGGCAGATGAAGCTCACGCATGTCGAAGGGCAGATGGAGATTTGAAGAGAACTTCCCGACTGACTTCACATTAACAGGACGCAGTGAGACGCAAAAGTTAATTAGAAACCTCAGCGCTCTTTGAAAGTGAAGCCGGCACACCAGATATGTTTCCTGGTAGTACGAGACCCACAAATAACTCAATAGCTTGCGTGGAGAAAGCGCTTTGCCCTGAGTCTCGACTGCTGCTTCATCCATGGCAATGACGAGCAGGGTGCATCTATCAAGTGACAAGCGTGCATCCAAGCTTTTTCCAGTTGGTTGTCATGGCCTTCAACAGCACAGCAGAATCCTTGGACGTTGCCAAACCTTACAGGATTATATACCAAAGATCCTGCTCTTTTCTCGTTGTTTTCTGGGTCCCGACACCTAATTATTCGATTTGATTTCGTTCAAAACCCGAAAGATATTGCCCCGCCTCAGGGCCCGGCGTAGTTTCAGAAAGGGGAGCCCGACACCCTCAACAGTGAAGCTCTCGTTGTTTCTGCACGGTTCTACCCTCCACGTGTCAATATTCGGGGCTTTGAGACGGTCTTCCATGTCAATCAACACCAACTGGTGGACAGAGACGGCAGGAGGTTTTTGTCTAACATTGTTACCCAAACAAAGTCTCGTCGTCGTCGACTTCCGGTTTAGATTCCTGCTGCTTCGCATTGGCACAAAGACAAGGACCAGTCAGCCACACAAAAGTGGCACTAGCAATGCATCCAACAGCCTGCATGCAGGGGCCACCCATGGCCTCCGTGGGCTCCATGGGCGGGCCCTACAGCACCATGGGCTCCATAGGACCCATGGGTGCTAGAGGAGCAGGGCCAATGGGCTCTCTTGGAACTATGGACTTGAGAGGGCCTGGACACATGCCCGGACCTATGAACTCAGCGGGTCCTGGCACGATGGATTTGAGGGGGCCTGGCCCGATGCCAGGACCCATGAACTCCATGGGTCCTGGCACGATGGACTTGAGAGGGCCAGGACCCATAAATTCGATGGGTCCGGGGACTATGGACCTGAGAGGGCCTGGGCTCATGCCTGGACCTATGGATTCGATCGGGCCCGGGACCATGGACTTGAGGGGGCCCAGTCCCATGGCTTCTCGAGCACCAAACTCGCCTTTCAGCTCCGTGCGCGGGCCTCCCATGACAATGGTTCCTGCGCCTCTCCCGCCTCCAGCAACCGTGCTTTGGCTGCTATACAGGGTCGTTGCGGAGTCTTTCCGTGCGAGTCGAAGTTGTTGAGACTCTTCGGTGCGAGCGGGGGGAAATTGCAAGCCTTGCTAGCTGGCGGTTTAAAGTTTACCTGAGGCCACGGCGCGGCAACCGATGAGCCCTGAGCAGTATGCTGTGGTGCAGAAGGAGCTCCATGAATGCTGGTTGGCGCAAAGACAGTCAAGGGACCTCCAGCCTGTTTGCAAAGTTGGACTGTGGGATTTCCGATAGTAAACTTAGAAACTTGTTCAAGCGATCCTGCTGAACTTGAACTCGGAAATGGATTCAGAAAAAGCTTCGAGAGTGATGTGGAGGGCGAAGATGCGGGGGATCGGGTTGGCAGCTGAGTCTTTCAACTTCGACGAATCAACCAGGCACAACTTCGGGCTGCATCAACAACATGTAAGGATAGCAAATTGACATCCAGGGTGGGCCTGAAGGCAGTGGCGCGGAAGCTGAACTGCAGACATTCAATAGCCAACGTACTATTGCGCCGCTTCCCTGCATCCCGACCAGTCCCACTACACGACTGGACGTCAGTCAGCCCTCAAGTCAAACGGTTTCGAAGTTGCTTGCTTGTTTTCGACTGAAATCCATAAAACCCCTTGACCCACCCCTCCGCGCCGCCACCGCCAGTAAGGCATATTTCCATCTTCGTCGTAAGGCTACTTCTCAGTAGGCAGCGTTCCGGCCACTTGTGCCCAAAGCATCTTCAACACAGCCCTGATCAAGTCAGCGCATGTCCTTACATGCTATGTAGTTTGATGCGGCACTGTCTTGCAATAATTCCTTGAATCGTTGCTGTCTTGGGTTGCACCATGGTCTTCCCGGGCCTCCCTCGTCCATGCACGGTAGACTCGGTAGACGACATCGAGACTTTGCCCTCAGGTTTGGATGCTGCGCTGATGAAGCGAAAGGAGCTCGTTCAGAGCCGCATGGCATGCATCACTGCTGACGCACTTGGAACTCGGAATCTTGCAGTAAAGTCTCCGAGGCAGTCGACGGTCTTGGGGCTTGGGCATGTCGCACTCTAGTCATAGTCGTGAGGTGGGAATGCCATTTCAAGACCACGGTCTCTCACAGGACACTCTTACACAAAAACTTCAGTACTTCAACTTCCTTCCCGTCCAGGCCTCTCCCAGCACCAGTGCCAAGACCAAAGCCCTGTGAAGGCTGAGTGTCTTGAAATCTCACAGGAGCCTACAGAAATGAAGCGGAGACCGCAATCCGGACAATAAGGTGAAGTACACGAGGGGTTCTTGCTATTACCGAGGTCCCGAAGAGCTCTTCACAGACGCTGTAGTTAGCCTTACCGCGAAGTCCGTGGACGCCAGGTGTTTCTATGTCGTTGATTGTCTTTGTGCATCTGTGTTTGTTTGTCCGTCCTTCCGTCCGTCCGTCCGTCCGTCTGTCTGTCTGTCTGTCTCTGTCTCTGTCTCTGTCTCTGTCTGTGTCTGTGTCTGTGTCTGTGTCTCTCTGTCTGTGTCTCTCTCTGTCTGTGTCTCTCTCTGTCTGTGTCTCTCTCTGTCTGTCTCTCTCT